TGGGAAAGCAGTAGGCCTGTGACTGGCACTGCTTGGGGGCCTGGGTAGTACCCAATGGACATGACAGTCACAGTGTTGTTGGCCTTCAGGGACTCGCGGGCCCCGCCAAGAGTGCAGAAGAATATGTGCAACAACTCCAAGGACTCAGAGTACTGGCAGGCCCTGACCACGGTAATCCCTTCCTCCAAGCAGAACCTCTGGGATGCCCTCTACACAGCCTTGGAGAAGTACCAGTAAGTGTGCATGTCATGGAGCAGGAGGGTGCTGGTGGGCAGGTGAGGAACGGTTGCTGGGAGCAGCCGTGTTTGCTGGCCCCCTGTCCCACCGAACCTGGGAGGGAAGAGCTGCCCTTGGCAATTCCTGTGTCGGTGGATCATGTGGGGCGGTTGGCTCTTGGGTCCTGGCCTGCCTGTTCTGTTCCTGCTAACCTGGCTCACCTGGCGGCTGGGTGAAGCGTGTAGCTTCTGGAGTCTCCCTCCACCTGCAGCCAAAGCAGAAACACCAAGACCCTGGCCCCTGCTTGGCAGAGGATGGAGGATTCAGTGAGCCTCTAACTGATTTTTTTGTCCAAAGCGTTGTCCTGACCCAGAGGGCCAAGCTGCTGCTGGAAAACAGTTCTCTGGAGCAGCAGAACACAGAGCTGCAGGCGCTGCTGCAGCAGTATCTGAACTCCAAGGTGGGCAGCGGGCCTTCCAAAGAGGGGTGGCAGGAGATGGGTGGGGCGGGGGGACTGGAGCTGGGATTAGGGAATGAGGAGTCCCCTCCCGCCCAGAGGCAAGGGAGCTTTGCGACGTGATGTAAAAAATCAACAGTGACACCTTGAGACAATTACTGGCTAAAGGAGTAGATCTTGCCTGAAGTCTCCTCCAGGACAGCTCAGGTGTGACAGTGTCTGTTTGATACCATGGTTTCTGGTGCCAGTGGCCTGCTGGGACCACTCTGTGTGAAGCAGTGCCACAGCCAGGAGCAGCTCCCCAGCTACAGAGCCTCCAGCTGTGCTTTCTTCCATCCTCACACCCGCTGTGTGAGGTGGACAGGGCGGAAACGATGCTCCTCATTTCACAGAAAGGACAATCACAACTTGGAGAGTTTGCAACTCATCCAGAGCCTGGGCTCTTTCCACCCGCCAGCCCGGGTTCCCTGCCTGGGATATGACTGGAGGGTCATCCTCGCATGAGGGAGGAGGCTCTGCTGGGGCAGATATTCCCTGGCCCCCATCTGTGCCCACCCCCACAATAGTTGTGGGCAACTTCCCCATGGCCTGGCAAGAGGAGGAAGGAAAAATTCCATTGCTAACATTTCCTGCTCTGTGGTGTAGGTGCCTGCAGCTGGGGCTGTAGGCCAGGAAGGTCATGACACAGCTGTTAGTTGCACACGTGTGAGGTGACTGAGGCCAGCTCCAAGTCCAGCCACAGGGGCTGTGTGGCCCCAGCACAGTCCCAGGTCCCAGGCAACAGCTGAAAGGAGGATGTTGTAGTGAGCCTTGGCCTCATAATGACCCTTGGCCTGTGACAGGACCCAGACATTCTGGACAGTATGGTTCCTGCTTCCACAGATGCTACTGTGTACAAGAGGCTTGGGGAGGAAGAGGTGGGGCAGGCTAGACTGGGGATGGCATGGGTGCATGGAGAGAGGAAAGGGGAAGATTGCAGAGAATGGATGGGTGGGAGATGAAGAACGCTGCCAGAGGTCACAGCTGGAGCAGAAGCTGAGCAAGAAGGCTCAGGCGTGTCTCCTGCAGGAAGGCAGCCTGTGGGTGCTCAGCGTCTCTCAGCTTTGGAGAGGAGATGCATGCAGGGCTTCGGAGGCCCATGGGAGAGCCAGCGTGGCTCGCAAGGGTGGCAAAGGAAGGAGGGCCCTGGGGAAAATTTAATGACCTTCACCCTTCCTTTTCCAGATCAACTCGGAACTGCAAGTTCCTCCCACTCAGGTGTTGCGGATACCCACAAAATAGAGCTGGAACTCCAAAGGCTGATGTGTTAGGGCTGGCCTGATGCTGGTGTCTATGCGGGAGCCAGCTCATATCACCCACTGGGACGCACCTGGGCCGGCTCTCTGGATTTTCCAGGGCTGTCTTTATAGCCTGTCGAAATAAGGAGCCAGAGGAGTTACCTGTGTCCTGCATTATGATTAAAGCCTTTTAAAAGTTGTGGCTGAATCCTATCGAAATAAGGAGCCAGAGGAGTTACCTGTGTCCTGCATTATGATTAAAGCCTTTTAAAAGTTGTGGCTGAATCCTATTGAAATAAGGAGCCAGAGGAGTTACCTGTGTCCTGCACTATGATTAAGCCTTTTAAAAGTTGTGACTGAATCTCTTTAAAGAGGGCAGGTCTAGCAAGACCAGGCCCTTGCCCCTACCTCTGTGTCATGAGGGGACTTTGCCCCAGGCTGAGATTGTGGAGTGAGTCAGAGGCCAAGGCCAGTGGCGTGGGGCTCCTTTCTTGCTCTCAGGGGAAGCTGGTTTCCATGGGTGGCGGCTGGAGCTTTTGGGCCCTTGTGGGGTCTTCAGTCTTCAGACTGGCCCCAGACCTGAAGGATTCTTTTGGTGCTTTGGGGGCCCCTGGGCCCAGGCTGGTGTAACCTTTGGGGTATAGTGTAAGACTCCTCCTGTGGGCAGCCTGGGTGGGCAGCCCTGTGCCCGAGATCTGCCTTGAACCCTGGGCCACCAGAGGCCACTCGAAGGGGAAAGGCCACGGGAGTCCTGCTGGTGCGGAATCCACCAGCCTAGAGAACTGCTGCCTCTGTCCCGCACCTGCGGCTCCTCCTCTCGACTTGACCAGTGCAGACCTGTCAGCTCAGTGCTTGACTTCTTTTATTTAGAGAAAAATCACCACTCAAGAAAAACAGCCAACAGAAACCCAGACACAGGCAGGGGCAGCACTTGATTGGCCAGCTCCCAGCTGCAGCTGAAAGGGCTGGAAGGGCAAGGGGGGCAGGGGTGGGAGGGCAGGGTGTGCCCAGGATGGGGAGTCCCCTCTGCTGCTCCTCACAGCTCCTCAGCTGGGCTTGGGGGCACTGGCTGGGGCAGAGGGAGCTCTGGAAGCTATGGAAATGCATGGGCAGGACAGGCGACGCCCTGGGAAGCGAGAGGAGCCAAGTGGAGCCCAGCAGTGACAGCACAGCTACCCTGGGACTTGTGGACAGGATCTGGCCCCTGTTGTGGATCAAAGACCAGTGCTATCTGAAGGGGACACGGCGGGGATACCTTTTACTCGTTCATTCTTTTCAAAGTCCTGGGTACTGACCCCTGGTCCCTGGTTAATTTCACTAAAGCTTCAATCCTGTACTTGGAAGACCTGGGGAAGGTTTCAGGAGGCTTCCTCTGGAGCCTGGGCCTGAAGAAGGGTGGTGCCTCAGCCAGATGGGGCAAGATAGACCCATTCCAGGTTCCCACCCCATCCAAGGCTCCCCAGCCCACAGGCAGGGGTCAGAGGGGCAGGACTGGGCAAGCCGCAGCCTGGGGCAGTGAGGACAGGCGGCCCCACAAACAGGAGGCAGGCTCTGGGCCCAAGGCATGAAGAGTGGACACTGGGCTCCTCAGGCTGCCCAGGGGAGATGGGAAAGAGTCCAAGCCACTGCAAGGAAATGTGGCAGGGCCAGGGAGTGGCTAGCGGGAGCTGGCGGCCTTCATGCCCCTAGGAGCTTTTTGACCATGTAGCCAGGGAGGCTGTAGAGGAAGAGGCCCAACATGAGCAGCCCCAGCAGCGCCAGCACAATCTTGATGATGAGCCACTTGTACCGGGTGCAGATGAGGTACTTGATGGACTTGAGAGGGTTGAGGAACCAGACGAAAGCTGTGTCGGGCCGGCTGGGAAGTGGAAGAGAGGAGCCGGTCAGCCAGTGGGCAGGAGCTGCCTCCCAGCACACCCCGTCCTCTGTCCTTCTGGACCCCCAAAAGCCCTGTCATGGCCCCAGTCCCAAAAGCAGTGAATGCTGGAGGCAGGGTTTGAACCCATTTCTAAGTACCCGACTTGCTGCTTACAAAACTCTATCCTCTCTGCAGGACCTTTGGAGCCGGAATCTGCTCCCAAGGCCTTGATGGGAACTACTTGCAGCATGGGGCAGCCTTGGCCCTGCAGGCAGTTCTCATGGTTAGCAAGCTCCTGCGGTTAGCTCGTTCTATGTGCTGCCCCATGTCCTCGTGAGACTGGTGTTTCGCAACCTCTTCCTTTCTGATGGACGTAAACGGCTGCTCCCACCGGGCCCTGCTGAGGGTCTGAGCGGCCCCTGTGGGGCACAAGCCGCCCTCACCGACCTTCCCACTGTCAGGGTGCAGACCCACTCCACCTTCCGCAGAGCCTGCCAGCCGAGAAGCACCTAGCCAGCCTCACTATCTGTCGTTTGTGTTATAAAAACAATAGGTTTGGTAAAATGTCAAGATACAGAGTGAAAGTACTGAATATGCCTTTTCAAACTACTGCCTCCCAGAGGACATGGCGTGCAGCCCCAGAGCTGAGCTCAGTATTGGTGGGGACACAGAGCTGGGGCTTGGGTGCAGAGCACCTGGTTTTGAATGGTTTTCACAGGTCAGTTAGGCACCTCTATCAACCTCGGTTTCTTCATGTATAAAATGGGGTTACAAGCAGTACCTACCTCCTGGGGTTGGTGCAATGGCATAGTGAGCCAGTGCCTGGGGAACTCTAAGCACCTGCAGTGGGTGTTCAGGCCATGGTGGCTATGAAATGTTTGAGCTGAATGGAACTATGATTCCGAAGGGCAGAAAACAGCCCTGAACTGGGAGGTCACACACTGGTGAGAGCCATTTCCAGACCTGTTGGCTAACCCTGGCCACACCCTTCCCTTTTCTCTGTCCATAGCTCAGCTTCTTTCTGCCAGTGAAATTGGACTAGAGTCTGGGAGAAACGTGGCTGGGAGCAGAGGTGGTGTGCAAAGAACACAGGATTGGCAATTTGGAAACCTTGGCTTGAGTCCTGGCTCTACCCTAATTTGCTGGGTGACCTTGAGCAAGCTACTTCACCTCTCTGACTTAATATGGGAAAGTGTAAAATAGTCGTTTCTAGTTCTGAGAGTCTATTCTGTCATGAAAACTGAAAGTTGCTGTGCATGTTTGGGCTTAAGTGTGTGCCTGTGTGTGCTTGAGTGCATGTGTATGCACTTGTGTGTGGCACGTGTGTGCATATATGCTTGTGTGTGTGTGCGCATATGTATGCACATTTGTGTTTGTGGATGTGTGCGTGTATGTGTGTGTGTGTGCGCGCGCCTGCCTAGCCCTTGGTCCAGAGGAAGAAGTGAGAAGTATCAGACCCAGGAGGCCGCTGGGCTCAGGCCCCGAGGATCTTCTTGACCAGGTAGCCAGGCACAGAGTAGAGGAACAGGGCGAGGAGGAGGAGCAGCAGCAGGAGCAGCAGCAGTTTGAGCAGCAGCCAGCGATACGTGTGCCATAAGAAGTAGCGAGCCGACTTGAGAGGGTTCAGGAACCAGATGAAGCTTGTGTCGGGCCGGCTGGAGCATGAAGGGTAGAGAGTGCAGAGGAGGGACAGGGAGGAGAAGGGGTTGGGTGTAGCGAGGGGCTCTGACCAAGAGGGAAGCTGCCCTGGGCTGTGTGTGCAGTTCTAGGCATCCCTCTGGCCATCAAGGCTGGCCGAGGCCCCAGAGGCCACCACTGGAGCTGGCTCTTCTGCAAAAGCTAGGAAGGGAAGAGCGTAGTTTCTCTCTGCTAAATGGGGCCTTTCCCAGGAAAGGTCCTGCTCTCCAGTACTCCTAGCCCATCCTCTGGTTCAAAGGGACGTTGCGGGATTCAGGGCCAGCAGAGAGCAGGGAGGAGGCTCCCCTGTAATGAGGCTGTGGCCCAGGAAGAGATGGGGTGTCTGAGGAGTGTCTCCTTCCTGTTCCAGTGCCTCCAAGAACCAGAGTGGGGAGGGGCTGGGCAGGCAGGGCACTCACTTGGGTTTCTCTAGGGGGTCAGGTTCATTGCGGGCCAGGCCCACTGGGTTCTTCTCCGCCTCCTCTGCTGTCAGTAAATGCAACTCAGCTTCCACCTTACCCTGCAGAGGACAGACAGGTCCCAGCGTCCAAGTCACGTGCTGGGCCCTTGGCACCCCAGCTGGGCCCAGCCCTGCCTACTGCCCGAGCAGGAGGGGGTGCGCACCGTGAGCTCAAACTCATCGTTCTCATTGCGGGCCAGGAGGGGCCACCAGCCTTTGACGCGCTTTTGCTTGAAGATGGACACCAGGGGCACGTCCACCTCACCGGTGGCCATCTCCATGGTGCACTGCTTGGCTGTCTTTGCGCCCCGCGGGAACCGGTTCAGGTCCAGCTCAATGGCCCCTGTGGCGACCTCAGTGTCAGCGCTGAGTGAACAGGGCTGGGGTGGGGTGGGGTGGGAGTGGGGGTCTGGGCTCCTCGTTCCCTTGGTTGCTGAGTGCAGACCTCCAGGAGCCCAAATCTCATCCTCCTGCCTCACTCCCAGCAACTGGCCTCAATGCAGGTGTCCTCGTGGGCTTGCTGGGCAGCCCCAGCCCCCACGCTTTACTCAGGTCCTTCTTTCACCCCAGAGGGTCTCTCCTGGGGTCTCCCCTGCCACTCCCTGCCACACATCCATTCTATCAAAGTCCTGCTAATCCCACAAGCTTGCAGATGCAGATTAGAGTTTTAGGGGGAATCCCTGCTTTACAGAGAAGCAACCTGAGGCCCAGGGAGGTTTCCCGACTCCCTTAGGGAGCCTCTCCCCTCCCCCATCAGCACTGACTGCCCCCTCCTTGGTGTGTCCAAAGCTTGTGGTCAGCCTGGTTATGATACTAAGGACATCTGCCTGGGGACAGTTAGGTGGGTCCTTGGGGGCGGAACCCCGTCAGACATCCCTGGCTCTGACGGGCCGGAAGCAATAACGCCTTGTCCGCCCAGGGCGGGGCTCTCTCTGTCCTTGTCCCCCCAGGGCGGGGCTCTCCCTGTCCTTGTCCGCCCAGGGCGGGGCTCTCCCTGTCCTTGTCCGCCCAGGGCGGGGCTCTCTCTGTCCTTGTCCCCCCAGGGCGGGGCT